TCTGTCAGTGTGTGTTTGGGAGTGAGTCAGTGATTGTGTGTGTCTGTCAGATTGTGTCAAATCAGTGAGTGTGTGTGTGTATGTCAGTGTATGTGGGAGTATGTGTCAGTCAGCCAAAGTGTGTGCTAGTATTTAACAGGAAGAGGTGTGGCCTTGACAGGAAGGGGTGGGGCAAATGTAAATTAGTGTGTGCTCGAGTTCCATCATGCCTAGGGCAGCACAAATCCAAAATACACCACTGGAAATGAAGAGATGCTCATTGATTGAATTATCCTAAGAAGAATGCACATGTAAAAAAGGAACAAAAGAAAGAAAAGCACTGCCATTGAGGTGAGCAACTTAAATCATTAGATGCTGAAAATTGAAGAGAATGCTCATGGAAAATGTAGAACTGAAAAGGAAAATGAAACCACTAAGCCACTCAGCCGATAGTGATCCTAAAAAAATTCAGACCTGTACCTGCCCTGCAAACATTTGTATTACATGTGTAGAGCGGGCATTGGTGCAATGTCATCATCAATATGTTGCAGATGTGTAAGTCCTGTTATCCCTCCCACCCGGGTCCCCCCTGTCTCTATGTAATTCTTAGTATAGGTTTTTTCTGTCCTCTCTGTGCATTAGTTCTAAGAGAGAGCGAGAGCCTCCTATGTCATTTATGATTTAAATGTTCTGTTATTCTGTTTATCTGTATTTCTCTCAAGTCAGATCACTGTGTGGAGCATCAAAAGCCTAGTATTTCATCCAGTTTTTTTTTTTATTCATATATCCCAATCTTATATTTGCTTGTATCTGTTTCCCAAGTTTACCAAGATACCCACTTCCATTCTTGCTTGCCATGTTACTTGTTTTATCAGTTCGTTGATATTTGCAATTGTCTCGGTTTTCCAATTTCTTGCAATAAGTAGTTTGGCTGCCGTAATTATGTGTAGTAACAACATTGTCATTTTTTTTGTCATTTCTGTCCAGTGCAAATTTGGTAAAACCACTTCAGGTTTACAAGGTAGTTTTATTTCCATTATTTGATGAATAATCTTGATTACTTCTTCCAAAACATATTTATGGGTGTGCACTGCCACCAACTATGGATCATATTGCCTTCCCTAATGTTACATTTCCAACATCTGTCTGGTAGCTCTGGGAAGATTCTCTTTAGGCGTTTAGGTGTTAAGTACCATCTATTTGATAGTTTAAATTGAGTTTCTATAATATTCAAACAGATACTATAGGTACTTGTAATTCCTTTTCCCATTTGTTAATCAATGCTATCGGTTTGTCATGTCTCCATCTATATACTACTTTAGCACATTTTGCCATTCATTTCTTATAGTTCTTTAATTCTAATAGTTGTATAAGACTTGTGGTATTGTTCTTATTTTGAAGGAGATGTTCTGCTAAGAAGCTTTTAATTCGGTGATAGTTAAACGTTTCACTGGAGGGAATATTAAAGTCCTTCATAATTTGGTTGAAAGGTTTAAGATTGTGTTCCTCCATTAGGTTTTTAATTTCCTTAACCCCTTTTGACATCCAAATATCTGTTTTTATGTTTTCTAACATATCAGAGATGCTTTGCGAATGGGAGCGTGTCAATTATTTTGTTTCTAAGTCCTTTCTTGTTTATAAATTTATCCCACCATTTCGTTAGCTCTTTAAGTAGCTGAGATTTAATTTGTGCCTCTTTAATAAATTTTTTATTTTCCTCAATAACCCAAAATAATGAAGATAAGTTTCCAACCCCAGTTTTAGCTTTTTCCATTTTATCTCATATTTCTTGGGTTGCTGCCTTACTTTGTGTGAGCATTATGTGATATAGTCTGCTGGCCTGATAGCATTGCAAAACTTGACAAGCAATTTTAGCAGCATAGTTCTATGTGATGTCATGCTGTTGGCTGGAATACAAGTTTAGGGACCCATATCAGGTGAAAGTATATGTAATGTAGGTAACAAACTTTAGGTTATAATGTGTGTGCTACCCAAAGTGGCTTAGTTGGAAGGTAAGACAAGAAATAAAAAGGAGCATTTAATGTTTTTACATCAGATAAAGAGAAATTAGCCAAAAAGCAATATCAACTTAATTTTTTTAAATACATAAATTGTAAACAAAAAAAAAAACACAAGAATAAAAGGTGTAGGTTCACTGATGTCAGAGATGGGTGTTTTAGTAAATAGGCATGTGCATGGGCAAAATATTTGGTTTGTTTCGGAAATTCGGGTAAGTAAAAAAATGTAGATAAAAATCACCTTAAAAGTGTGTAACTCCAGGAGCTGGTTAGTGACTAATGGCTAATGGCTAAAAATGTGGTAAAAAAAAAAAACCTAATAGGTATATTATATAGTGGAAATGCAATAAGTGGATACTGTGCCTTTAAGTACTAAAAACGATGTGGTAAAGGAGCAGCAATAGAGGTAGATAGAAAGTGTAGTGGGTGATAAAAAAAGGGGAAGGGGTGAGTGAAAATACAGGTATGGAATATTAGTAAAAGATAGATATAAATTTAATAAAATAATAAATAAATAGAAACAGATGTGAATAAAAGTAAACCACAAGATGATGAAATAAACTCCATAGACCAAAATGTGCAAAACAGGTATCTCGATCCCCAATGAGGTGGGGGGTAGATGATACCTATTTCAAAATAATATACTTAGTAGTATCAAAGATAAAAAATAACAATATCAAACTACTAAGCGATACAGTATATAGAACTGCAGGCTCAGTACAATAGATCGTGATGAACTGAAGCAACGTAAACAGGATATGTAATAAAAAAAGTCCAGTTTATTAAACATTTCAAATGTAAAAAATAGTTAAATTATAGATCAGAGAAAGTTCATAAGTGCATTACCAGACTCTAATAAATCAAATGCCAGCAAGGACGTTCGGATTATAGGAGGATGGATCTGGATACTGTTGGTAAGTAGTTGGTATTTCGGCTGCTGGTGAGGATTCTGAGTGCACCTTCCGAACAGGAGCCTCACTCCCAGAGACGTGCAAAACAGGCGATGCCGGTTACTGCTGTGACCAAAGGTCCTGCTTGGGAGGTTGAACTGTTGCTGGTGAATGCGATCTGTGTCTTGCCTTCGCAATCTGCCTAATGCGTTTTGTAGGAGGTGGGCCCTACTTCATCAGAGACATGCTCAAGCAGCATGTCTCTGATGAAGTAGGGCGCATGAAGTAGGGTGCAATCATATAAAAGCCCAGTCTGCCCTCAAAACAGTGCATTGTTGTGGTTGCTAATGTGCCTTGAGTCACTAGTGTCCCTTTAGTGCGTTTATCAGATGTGAATAACAATACAGGGTTATTCATGTTTTAGAAATGACAGAGCAAAGAGAGGAGGAGGCATTGTTATTTATGTTGACAATTCCATAAAGTTTACCCCTTTACAAAACCTTAGTCCTCCTGCCATCTTTGATTTCCTTTCTGGCACAATTGAGATCCCGTGCAGTAAATCCATCATTGTTGCAGGAATCTACCGTCCACCTAGCTCTCCTGTGCATTCCCTTTCTGACATAGCCCATCTCCTTAGTGAAACCATAGCTCAAAGCCCAAAAAGTCATCTGTTGTTCTTTGAAGTTTTTAATATTGATTTGCTGAACCCTACAAATAATAGTTCTTGCACGCTGTTTAAGACTTTGCTTCTAACGCAATTAATCTCCTCCCCAACTCGCATAAACATTAAAAGCCATAAACATACCCTGCTAGATTGGATTCTCTCCACTTCTCCTGATAGAATCCAGGAGGTTGGTGTTCTCCCCAACACATTCAGTGATCACTGTTTAGTGTACTGCGTGCGCAAAATAAAGGCTATTAAATCCTATCCCAAGGTTAAAATAACTAGGTCCTTCAAAAAATTTAATCTTGAATCCTTTTTAAATGACATCAAGAATCTCTCATGGCACAGATTAAACATTATCCCAGATCTAGACTGTGCTGTTGAATACTTTCAGTCTGAACTCCTTCAAATCTGGAATTTGCATGCCTCGCTGCGTAAGGTGAGGGTAAAGGGAGCGCATATGAACTGGATCACAGCTGACCTCATCCAAATGTACCAGTTTCGGGATTCTTTGTGGTCAAAGTTTAAGCGTACTGGCTCTATGAATGATCACGGTGCATATAGACAATGGCGAAATATATGCACAAAACAGACAAAACTGGCCAAGGCCCAATATTTCTATGAAAATCTGAACAGTAACATCTCAAACCCTAGAAACTTTTGGAAAGTCATAAATAAACTACAAACTCCCCCAATCCACTCCCAACCCTCCACTGTCAAAGTGGGTAACCAAACCCTGCAACTTCCTTTAGATGTTGCAAATGCCTTTAACAATTATTTTGTCGGATGCTCTACTGCCCTGATTGACAAGCTAATAAATGACACGCATCCTGAAACTACAAATGTGGATCAGGCCCCACTAAATTTGCAAAGGCCCAATATAGATAAGTTTAATTTTAGACCTGTACCTGTTAGTGTCATTAAAAAACATCTTAATAATCTAAAAATGAAAAACCAGTCCGGACCTGATCAAATCCCAGCAATGCTGTTGAAGCTCAGTGCGCCGGCAATTGCTAAACCCGTCTCAACTCTAATTAACGAATCCTTGGTGTCTGGATACATACCCAAACTTTGGAAGACTGCGAGAGTAGTGCCTATCCATTAAAGTGGTGACACTACTTTGGTTTCTAACTATCGCCCAATATCATTGCTCCCGGTATTGTCAAAAATCTTAGAAAAATGTGTCCATACGCAACTTTGTGAGTACTACCAACAATTAAACTATCTGACCCCTGATCAATCGGGCTTTCGCCAGAATCACTCCACTACAACTGCCCTCCTAAAAGTTTGCAATGACATCCAAACTGGCATGGAACAAGGAGCCCTAACTGGAGCTATTTTCCTTGATTTTGCTAAGGCCTTTGACACAGTAGACCACGACATTCTACTGCACAAACTCGAAAACTCAGGTATTGGTGATCATTCTTTAAACTGGTTTCGATCGTATGTATCGGATCGCTCGCAATATGTGTCCATTTCTGACAGTGACTCCCTCCCTCTCCCGGTCACGTGTGGTGTTCCCCAGGGTTCCATTCTCGGCCCCCTACTATTTACATTATTTATAAATGATCTGCCTTATGTCTGCCAATCCTCAAATGTACACATGTACGCAGATGACACAGTAATCTATGCGAGCAAACCCAATCTACCGCAACTTGAGGCTTTGCTCCAAGACCAGTTTACAGAGGTAGAAAAGTGGATCGCAAAAAACAAACTCTTCCTGAACACTGACAAAACTGTCACAATGATCTTTGGAACAGTACCTAAATTGCACAAATTACACAATCCCCACCTATCCATCAAAACAAATTCAAATGGCACACTGACCGCAGTCCACTCTTTCAAATACTTGGGTATGATATTATACCCCAATCTATCTTTTGGCCTGCACATAGAAAAGCTTGCATCTAAACTTTATCCAAAATTAGGTGCCCTGTACAGAAACAAAGCCTGCCTAAGCCCTACAGTAAAGGAAAAGATTGTACAGCAAATGCTGATGCCAATCATTGATTATGGGGATGTAGTATATGCGTCTGCATCGCGATCCCACATTAATAAACTCAACACATTGTATAACTCGTTCTGCCGATTTGTGCTACAATGTAATTACAGGACCCATCATTGTGACATGCTAAAGGAACTAAACTGGCTGTCGCTGGAATCCAGACGCACCCTTCATCTTTCCAGCCTTGTTTTTAAGAGCTTCTCTGGGAAACTCCCACCCTACCTGAACAAAATGCTTTCCTTAGCTGTTCCCACTTTCTATAAGCTCCGATACAGTACAAGCACTTTACTTAGTCTACCTCAATACAAAAAGAAAGCGGCCCGATCCTCCTTCTCTTACAGAGCGCCGCAATTGTGGAACGACCTCCCGCACAATTTAAAATCTTCCCTAAGCCTAAAGTCATTTAAGAGATCCCTCTCTACATACCTCAAAACAGAATGCACGTGTCATGGTTGATTATATATTTCCTGCCTGTTCTATGTTAAATTTTGTATATATTGTGTATTAATATTGTTTTTGTATTTTGTTGTACCTAATGTAACAATGCAATGATTTGTGGACCCAATACATACTTGAAAACGAGAGAAATCTCAATGTATCTTTCCTGGTAAAATATTTTATAAATAAATAAATAATCTACCCTTTTGTGATAGTTCTTTGCTTTTGATCCGCTTGTTCTTGACTATTATGACTTCTGGTTTCCCTGACTCGACTTCGCTCCTCATTATTGTGTATTTCTGGCTTCCCCTGACCTTGGCTTGTTTCTGACATTTCTTGTAGTTATCTCTTTTATCCAGCCATTCTAAGGACCGGCTTAGGGGCTTTCTTTCTGTCTCTAATTATACTGGTGGTTTTAACTCTGTGTGTTGGGTTAATTGTTACAAATACACTCTAGCTATTTCTACTTCTTTCCAAGACCAAACATTTTTCAGGGGTAGTCAACCTTCAACACTCCAGGTTGTGGACTACATCTCCCATCATTATCACAGCTTATACCCAGAATCCAAGATCCGCAGCTCCAAGTCAAATTGCATCACGTGCATGCTAAAGGGAAACAGCAGAACAGCTCAGTGGGCATGGCTATAAATATAATACCTTTCCACGTCTGTATGGTAACCGCAATTTCAAATATGCAAATAATAGTCTAAGGACAGTTTGGAGGCATGTTAGGGGGTAGGCGTGGCTACTGAAGATGTCCTATTAAAACAGAACAGCTGAGCTTTCATTGCTCAGGTCTGTGCTGTTTGCAGTGGACACTTATTTAGTTTTTTCTTCATATCTGACCCTTGGCATGTTTCTACATTTCTGAGCATTTGCTGCCTGAATATTAAACTCATCGGACCTGTGTTGACCTTGTCCTTCACCTTGTCCATTTGGATTGTTTTCCCTGGACTGTATTCATTAATTGTCAACCTCATTAAGTAATGCAATTTGGGCTTCATACTACAAAGCCTGACAATGATGCTCTCAGAGCATAATGGAATAATGCTGGCAAAACTTCAGGAGAGATGTAACCCACAACGTTTGGAGTGTCAGAGGTTGTCTACCCTTGATCTAGACCAATGTCTTTTAATTTGAACACTAATGTTCTTCAGAGAGTGCAGTTACATTTGTTTAACATGATCTATATTGCATAAAATAATGCTAAATTCTGCTAATTACATTCCTGAATATTATCCCTTAATAACACTTTAAATATTCTCCTACCCACAGAAGTTGAGCTCATGTGCCTATAATATCTGAGCAGAGAATTTGACCCTTTTTTGAATATAGGAACCACATCTGCCCACAATTATCACAATTATTCTGTTTTTGCAACAATGATTTGAATATCTATTGCCATAGGCTTGTCCTTAGTATATACTGAAGAAAAAGAAATATTTAAAATTCTGATCTTCATTTACTAATAATAGAAGAAAAAGGAGGGTTGCACTCAATCACAGAGTTACACACAGGATGCACAGAGCATGGGTCAGCAAACCCCATATAATCTGTATAAATGAAAAGAATCTCAGGCACTGGGATTTCTTCAAGGCAGTTTATTGCAATGTTTCGACCTGAAACCAGGTCGTTATCAAGCAATTAACAATAGACATGTGCAATTTGTTTCGTTCCAAATGTACATTCGTACAAATTTAATCCCATCCGGACATTCGGATACAGGGCCGGCCTTAGGCAATTAGGCGCCCTGTGCAAAAAGTCTTCACGGCGCCCCCCCCACCTCCCACCAAGTTGCCTGAATACAGTAACACACACAGGCACCGGGGACGTGTGTATCACGAGGCAAACAAGGCATCTGCCTTGGGCGCCACTTTGCAGGGGGCGGCAAAAAAAAGCATCCCTCCAAACCCCCAGGCAGATCCCTTGCTTGCCTCGCATCCTGGGGGGCTCAAGAGCTGACCGGCTGGCCACTTTTGAGCCCCCCCAAGGCTGGCAGCGGGCAGCGAAGGAGCATACTCACCTGAGCTCTTCCTGCTCAGCTTCCTCTGCGCCGCTTAATGAAGCCGGGAGCCAGAATATGACGTCAGTCCGGCTCCCGGCATCACTAAGCGCTGCTTACTCAGCCTGTGCGCCCCCTGCCTGCCTGCCCAGCAGCCACACTGGACTGCTGGTAAGAAATCCACTCCAGCTTTCCCAGGGAGGCTGGGTGGATTTAAAATAAATGTAAAAAATATTAGTTTGTGAGTGTTAGTGGAAATGTCTGTGTGTGTGTCTGTGAGTGTTTATTTTGAAGTGAATGTGTGTGTGTGTGTGTGTCTGTAAGTGTGTAATTGTGTGTGTCTGTAAGTGTGTAATTGTGTGTGTCTGTAAGTGAATGTGTGTGTGTCTGTGAGTGAATGTGTGTGTTGGTCAGTGAGTGTATATGTGTCAGTCAGTGAGTGTGTATGTGTCAGTCAGTGAGTGTGTATGTGTCGTCAGTGAGTGTGTATGTGTCGTCAGTGAGTGTGTGTCGGTCAGTGAGTGTGTAAGTCAGTGAGTGTGTATGTGTCGGTCAGTGAGTGTGTGTCGGTCAGTGAGTGTGTGTCAGTCAGTGTGTATGTGTCGGTCAGTGGAGTCGTGCATCTTTCAGTGAGTGCTTGCGTCTGTCAGTGAGAGTGTGCATCTGTCAGTGTGTGTCCAAGTAATAGTGTATGTGTGTATGTCATTGTTTGTCAGTGTATATGAGAGTGTGTGTCTGTCAGTGAGTGTGCGTCTGTCAGTGAGTGAGCGTCTGTCAGTCAAAGTGCGGCCTTGACAGGAAGGGGTGGGGGAAATTTAAACTCGGTTACAGGCATGTACACACACACTCAGTTAAAGGCAGTCACACATACAGGCACAGGCACAAACAATGGCACAGCTACAGCGACACACACAGACAGACAGTCACATAGGCAGTCACACACACAGACAGACACACAGTAACACACACATAGACAGTTATACACACACAGATAGAAAGTCACACACACAGGCAGGCAGTCACACACAGACAGATAGTTACAGGCAGACACACACAGGCAGGCAGTCACATACAGGCAGTCACACACACAGACAGATAGTCACACACACACAGTCACACACAGGCAGGCAGTCACACACAGAGACAGACAGTCACACACACACACACACACAAGGACAGGCAGTCACACAGACAGTCACACACACACACACACACAGACAGTCACACGCACACAGGCAGGCAGTCACACAGACAGACAGTCACACACACACAGGCAAACAGTCACACACACACACTTACCTCTTTCCAGTGGATGCAGTTGGCTGATGGGGAAGCATCTTTCCCTCTTCCTGTACAGCAGGGGCTTCGGGAGGTATTAGCCCCGTCTCCGCCTCTCGATAAGCCCCGCCTCCGCCGCTCGGTAAACCCCGCCCCCTCTGCCGCGATTTTTTTTTTTTTTAAATAGACCCGGGTGGAGAATAATTAATCCTCCAGCCAGGTACCTCTTTTAGCTCCCCTGCACTCCGGCCATGAGTGAGCTGTGTCGGCCACAGGGCGCCCCCTGTTCCATGGCGCCCTGTGCGGTCGCACAGTTCGCACACCCCTAAGGCCGGCCCTGTTCGGATACTTATGAATGTCCAAAGTGTCAAGGTTCTGAGTCGCCAAAGTTCCGAAGTGACGAAGTTCAGTAGTTCAGAAGTGCTGAAGCTCCTAAGCACCGAGGCTTGAAGCTCCAAAGCTTCGAAGTGCCACAGTAATTCGGATTTCTGAAAAGCGGCAAAACGAGAGAGGGAGGGTAACATTTTATGAATAATGACAGGAATCTTGACCAATAAGCTAATTCCTTTTGTGCAATGTAATGCTTGCTTGCCCAATCTGGTTTCACTATTCCCTGTCCAATGAAATGAGCACATTTTTGGGATTGATGTTAGAGGACAGCAAATTAATTGTGATTTTGTCACTGACACTTGACCAATGACACAGAGTCATTGAGTTGGGATAGTATATAAATCAGGCTGTCAGACAGTTTTGCCTTTTTTTTTCTTCTGTATTTTGTTTCATTTTTTTAAAGAGTAGGGGAGAGTGAGAGAGTGTACGGCTGTGCAAGTCAGGTAGTCTGATTGCCAGGGTGTCTCTCTGTTGCACTGTGACATTACTGCACTGATTAATGTTGTGTACCAGCCATCACTTGCTCTCACTTTGCTCTCTCTCTCACACATTCTCACTTGCTTTTTCACACACAAATTGCTTTCTCTCTCCTCTCACACTCTGCTCTCACACTCTGCTCACTTTGCTC